AATCTTACTTGTAAAGTTAAAAAAACTCTACTATCAGGATATATTTTGTATACAAAATTATGATAAGATAGAATAAAATGATATTATAAATATGATTAGGTTAAATAATATCATTTTATTTTGCATTTGATGTATAAAGATTATGATAAAATAATTTATTTATTGATCAAAATTATTTTTTTAAAATTTATATAATTTAAATTATTGATATAATTTTTAAAAGTATAATAAGATATATAAGTTAAATTTTATAAATTAAAAACAATCTTTTCCAAAAAATTGAATCGCCAAAATGACAATTAAATTTTTTTATAATCCTATTTATTTCTTTAAATATAAATTAAATATAATATAAAATAATTATCATAATTTTTCATTAATAATTTTATACATCAAACATATTCTTAAATAATTTCTCTACCTATTATTATTATTATATAATTAATGGGATTAAAAAGTTGAAAGAAATTTTATGGTATCCGTAAATTGGAAGCAGCCGTGCCTAATTGGTGGTTACCATTTGATGTTGAAAGTCAATGGAAATGACAGGACCGAGCAGCACTCTCCAAATCAAAGAAAATGGGATTAAGCAATGTAATGGAGAGTGAGGCATTCATTGTCAACATCCGGCATCTGCATTTGATGATGTGGTTTTATGAAGAGTGTAGGCACTCCAGATCCAATTGTATATGGCCATGTAAACGACTAGAGACATTCTGCATTATTTTATTTATCACAGTTTGCAGTTGATGATTACTATTATAAAACACTATTCTATATTGTCCCATAAATCATGCATCTAAGATCTCAGTCTAACGCATGATTTGTTTGCGCTGTTTGAGTATTTGTCCCTTGCCTGGTCCCTACCAAGCTCTTTTTTTCTTCAAATTTGTATGTGGTTGTGCATTTTTATTCTCTTGCTCGGTTGGGATGAAAATTTAAAGGGCACTCTTTTCAGTATAAAAAATGTAAAAACCCTATATTTTATATGCTTGCTGCCCCGATTTATTGTAAAACAAATTCTTCACCACTTGTTTAAGAACTTTGAATGACAAAAGTGTAGTTAAAAACCAAAAGAAATTGATGGAATCAAGGAGGAATGATAGAATGGTATTGATTATTGTGTTTGATTCTTTGATTGCTTTAAACTGGTGCAAAAAGGAGGAGGCTTGACCATGGAAGTTGTGGACCATCTTTACTTAAATAGATAGTCTTTGGAGATGATTAGAGATATCAGGCGGCTAAAGGTGTACAGAGAGAAGCCATTGAGATGAGGGATGCTTTGCAAAGGCAGGGGAGTTGTTCATGGCTCGGTAGCCACCTGGTTAACCGGTTGCAAAATAGGGCTCTTCTTTGTTTCTTTCGTATTTGCAAGACGGGTTTGATGGGCCAATATATATTATCTTCATTTTTGAAAGAAGGCGAGAGCCCATAACGGTTCTTCTATCAAATTTTCCTTCTTGTTACTGAAATAATAATATGAAAAAAAGAAGAGAATTGACAGAAAATAGACCTCAGTCCTATGAGATTATAAAAATAAAAGATATTTATCTGTTTATTCTAATACACTTGTTTTCTTATATATAAAATTCATCAAAGAAAATATTAATGTCATGAATATTTTTGGTACTTATATGTCATGAATTTTACGTAGTACTATTATTTTTATTTTTGTCTTATAATAAAATCTAGGCTGATGATTTTTTTATTTAAAGATTTCTTATATGTAAAGTACTATATGTAACTATGCCCGTCAAAATAATACTGCTCCTAAGTCCCACTTTTTTGCTTTCAATCTAAATGCATTTTCTTTTTATCCGCACTTTATTCTTTGAAATATTTTACTTATAATTCTTATAATATAATTAATCAGTTATAATTTAAAATCATATGAGATTTATTAAAATTTTATATTAAATTTACACTTATAAATGATAAATTTTTACATAAATTTTTTTATTATAATTAAATAATTATAAAATTATAATAAAAAAATTGTAAGTGATATATTTTCAAGCAACATGCTTCCAATGCTAATATTAATTTTCAGCACTCCTTTGTATTTTTTAATATAAAAATACAAAAGGAGAAAATTTGTAAGCATAGGAAATCAAAATTTTAATCTTATAAAATCTATATTTCAAAAGAAATGGATAAATCATTTGGATTATATTTTAACCTTTTACTAATTTTTTCTGTAAAAAAAAAAAAAAAGAAATCTCTTGAGTAAAAAGGTTCAAACTCTAAAGAGCTAAGTGTCAAACTCAGGTCACTAAACCAGACAAAAACATATTTACACGCGGCGTATTGCCAACGCGATTCCACTTCTGTCTGCTTCTCTATCGGAGAAAAGGGAGAATGGAAACATGCTCTTATCTACGGTGGATCATTAGATTCATTACTGAAGAATTATTCTTTAGTGTTGGCAAATTGGCGATGCTTATCATTTTTTTAATGTCTTAAGATTAAATTTTGGTCAAGTATAAATGAACAATATATAATTAAAATAAAATATGATTTTTTTTTATTTTTTTGAATACTTTTTGTCAATTTTTTGTATGTAATAAACATTTTTATTAGATTTTATTTTATTTTTTTAAAGTGAGATCTATTTTACATAAAAAAAATCTTTAAAACATTTTTTGGGAATAAAATACTATATCTGTAAATAATTAAAATATAATCTATACATTTATTTATCAATTATATAAATTCTGCTTATTTTTATTTGACTTCATACAATATATTGACGTGACATTTTGTTTCTTTTATTTTTTTTAATTTTTAATTTTTTTATTTAGATAAATTTATTTTTAAAAATAGGATTGAAGTGTCTATGCAATACCTTAATTTGATTTTTTTTTTATCTATTTCATTATTTATGTTTTAATTACAAAAATTTTGCAATAAAAAGAATGATAGATGAGTAAAATAATTTATATCCAATGAATTTCAATTTGACTCGATTTGATAGTGCACATTTTTTCTCTTTTTTTTATTTTAAAATTTTTTTTGCTTTTAGTTTTTTTATTTATTATTTTTTAATTAAATCATTTTTGTAAAAAAAATATTAATGAAGATGACCATGTAACATCTCATTTTTTAATTTTTTTTTCACATTTATTTTTTTATTATTTTTAATTAAAGTAATTTTGCAACAAAATAAAATGATTAATAAAAATAACAAAATAATTAATATTTGATAAATTTTTATTATTCTCGAATTAATATAAACGTTTTTATAAAAAATCAATATCAAATTAATTTAAGTTAATTTTATAATAGAAATTAAAGATGGATGAAAAGTAGATTCAATTTTCTATCCCAAGTCACCTTATGATATATATAAATGTGTATATTTTATTATTTATTTAATTTTAAATTTGTATATATCTTTATTGATTTTTTTTTGTTTAAAGTTTGGTATTAAGTAGATCCACACACAAAAAATTTAAAAAAAAATTATTTTTTATAATTTATATTTTGTGAGAATAAGAGGTCAATTTAGATATCTACATTCACCTCCATTTAGATTTTTTTTTTTTACCTTTGATCCTTTTTTTTTAATTAGGAAAAAAAATGAATAAAAATAATAAAACAAATTTTTTTTGACTCCAGACAATACATAAAACACTCCATATCTAATATTTAATTTTGTAGAAAAATGGGAGAAGAGAGTGTCCGAGTGGCATCACTCCCTCCCTCTATTCTTTACTTTTTTTTTTAATTTAATTTTTTTAATCTTTTTTTTTGGTTTTAACTTATTTATTCGTTTTATCTTTATTAGATAACTTTTGTTAAAAAAAAAAAAATCAATGAAAGTAAGGATGATGAAATAATCTGGATTCCTTTGATTTTGTTTTGCATTGTTCCAACATAAGTGCATTTAAAAAAAAAATCAGATAGAAATTGTTTAAATAAAGTTGGATTGAAAACGTATTTAAAGTGTTTCAGTTTGTCTTAATGTCCATGTGGCACCCTTTTTTTTTTTCATTTTCTGTATTTTTAAAGCTTTTTCCTTTTTTTTACTTTTACTTTTTTTAGATAAATTTTATAATATAAAATAAATTAAGATAAATATTATCAAATAACCTATATGATGGGTTTTATTTATTCCGAGCTAATTAATACACTTTTATTTAATTTGAGATAATTAGATTAAATTATTTTTAATTGAGTTCAAGTTAGAGTATGGTTTGAGTCTTATGACTTTAATATATATAAAATATATACTTTATTATTTATTTAATATTATATTTATATATTAATAAAAAATATTTAATATCTTAATTTAATAAATTCACATACCATTTTATTTGAATTTATTTTTTTAAAATTTTATTTATTAAATAAATTTTGTAAAAAAAAATTAATGAATGTAAATATGACAAAAAAAACTTATATTCAATGAGTTTTGATTTATTATGATTCAATTGATGTATTTTTTTCAAATAAAAATTGAATTAAGTTTTACTTTTTTGAATAATTTTAATCAAATCAATATTGGGTTTGGGATGTTATACCTTGACTCTTCTCGGGATTATTAAAAATTATTTTATTATTTATTTAATAATAAATATATTATTTAATTTCTTAATTTAAAAAAAAATTATATTTATATATAATTAAATTATAATTTATATTTAAAATAAAATACATATTTATCTATTTTTTTGAGTATAAGGGGTGGGGGATGGGGACGGGGGAGACTCAAAACCGTGACCTCATGTTTTGTGTAGGCTTTTTTTGGCCACTAGGCTAAGAGGCAGGGCACATTTATATTTATTTATAGATTCTCATTCGTCAAAACTTTGACATAAAAATTTTATTTTTTTATATTTAAAATATAATTTTTAAAAAATTATCTAATAAGGAAATGTGAGTCTAATTATAATTATAATTATAATTATAATAATATATAATTTTTGGTGCAAAGCCACAATTTTACTTTTCTTTCCTCAAATAGAATACCTAATTTATTAAAAAAATCCCTAACTTATTAAATTAATTATTTGCTTTTAATAATATTTCATGGACTCTGGGAATTATTTCCTGCTCTTCCAATGGCGTCTTACTTACCTTTAAACTAAAGCCCCAAATAACGCAATAACCAAAATTCTTCTTTCTATATACTCGCTCCCTCCAATCGTAAAGCCCCACCGCAATCCATCTACGAGACCGATGGCCCGAAGATCCATACCGTTCCTCAAACAACTCTTGACCTCTCCATCTTCTAACCTCACACCGACCCGATCCGTCACCTACATGCCACGGCCGGGCGACGGTGCACCGCGACCCGTTACCTTGATCCCGGGTGACGGGATCGGCCCTCTGGTGACGGGTGCCGTGGAGCAAGTGATGGAGGCGATGCACGCGCCTGTGTACTTCGAGCGATACGAGGTTCACGGCGACATGAAACGCGTCCCTCTAGAAGTGATCGAGTCGATTAAGAAGAATAAAGTTTGTTTAAAAGGAGGATTGGCTACGCCGATGGGAGGAGGTGTCAGCTCGCTGAACGTCCAGCTAAGAAGAGAGCTCGATTTGTACGCTTCGCTTGTCAATTGCTTCAATTTGCCTGGCTTGCCTACGAGGCATGAGAATGTTGATATTGTGGTGATTAGAGAGAACACCGAAGGCGAGTACTCTGGCCTCGAACACGAGGTCGTCCCTGGAGTCGTCGAGAGCCTTAAGGTACTCCGTTTTAATCCACGCTTTATCTTTGTGCTAAATCTGAATAAAGTTAAGGATTTTATTTTGTTTGATGTGTCTCATACTAGTCGATTGCTAGGTGATAACAAAGTTCTGTTCGGAGCGAATCGCAAAATATGCATTCGAATATGCTTATTTAAACAATAGAAAGAAAGTGACCGCTGTGCATAAAGCCAACATTATGAAGCTTGCTGATGGGTTGTTCTTGGAATCATGCCGAGAGGTTGCTACCAAGTATCCAGGGATTAAGTACAATGAAATAATTGTGGATAATTGCTGTATGCAGCTTGTTTCGAAGCCTGAGCAGTTTGATGTCATGGTACTATTCATATCCTTCTGTCTATGCTATTTCTGTTTCTTATGTTATGTTGATTGTAGAATTTCATATGCAATGGTTAAACTTAGAAATGTGATTGACCATTTTGTATTGTAGAGAAACAGCCTAAAACAAGTGGTGTTAAAAATAATGGAATTAAACAATATGATATGATATGATATGATATGATATGATATGTATACTGCTACACTGCTAGCATATCTCTATCGAGAAAGCCATGTAAATTGAGTCACTTTCTTGGGGATTAGGCAATCCCGGTAATGTCAATGAAAGTAGGTTATTTTAAGAGACTCTAGTAACTTGGTAGAAAATAGGTGATTATTGGTCAACTCTAGTAACTTGCTTCTCTCTTTACTTTCTTCTTTTCTTCTTATTATAATTAATGATACTCTAACTGATGTTGGCTGGTCTTTTTTTTTTCAGGTGACACCCAATCTTTATGGCAATTTAGTTGCAAATACAGCAGCTGGTATTGCTGGGGGCACTGGAGTTATGCCTGGAGGTACAACCACTGACACACATCAGTTGATGATCTTTTGAAATGTTTTCTTCCGTTTCTTAAATATTTGCTACCCTAACCTTTTCTGGAATGGGCTACATTCATATTGTTGAATCATTGATGAATATATGACAAAAGACAGACCTTGGCAGCTGGTGCTATTTACCAAAAGGAGAAAGTGGTGATTATGGAATCATTCAAAATCAAATAATTCCTGCTATCAATTTTATTTTTTTGTTTGTCCTTTCAACGGGAGTAATGAAAACTGTATGCATGTACATCTAAAAAGCAATAGCAAGTGCTTGTATTTGGCTGTAGGACTAAAATTTGAATAGCTTTTATGCTCATGTTTGTAAACCATGTAATGAAGATATGTGTAATTGCATGGGAGAAATTTTGAAGCATGTACCTTATCTTCGTTCTAGTACTCTTATTACCTTGTATAGTTAGCAACTCTGAACATGTGAGATTACATTGAAAGCAAGCAAATTTTCACTCCACTTTATTCAGTTTTGCAAGGGTTGGGTATAAGATATTGTTGACGGAAAAAGGTGCCACCAGTTCTGGTGTAGTATTGGAGTCTCTCTGAATCATGTATGTATGACTAAAATCTTGTTCCAATGCTGGGGTGCTGTTTGTGCAGGCAATGTTGGGGCTGATCATGCTGTTTTTGAGCAAGGGGCTTCTGCAGGAAATGTGGGCAGTGAGAAACTGCTGGAACAGAAGAAAGCCAACCCAGTGGCCGTGCTTCTGTCATCTGCTATGATGTTGAGACATCTGCAGTTTCCCTCATTTGCCGATCGATTGGAAACTGCTGTGAAACGGGTTATATCGGATGGCAAGTACCGCACAAAGGACCTTGGAGGAACTAGTACCACTCAAGAGGTTGTTGATGCAGTCATAGCTGCGTTAGACTGAGTGAGAGGGTAGTTGAGTAGTCAGTGCTTTACATAGAAAGTTTGTCCATCTATTGTGGGAATTTCCCTCGCAAACTCTTCATTTTGAGCTTGGATCAATAACTGTTGATTTTATTCAGTCACAATTGAAATTATCATGTCTAAATAATCTCAATTCCAAATCAAAGATGGAATTTGCTTTTTGAGATAACTTTGTTATGTATCTAACTCCATTCTTGCTGCTGTGACAACGCTCGCATAGCCTGCTGTCCGGACAATGAGATTTTTTGTAGCCCACTTCTTTTTATACAAACGTAGTTAAAAGATTTAGGCTAAAAGCCCGAATAAACCATTTTGGTTTTCATGATTGTGGACATTAGGCCCAGTTTTATCATTTTCAACTAAGCGCCCCTATTGTAATTTTAGTACTAGCAAGTATAACGAAGGGATCTAGAATGAAAATGGTAAAATGTTGTGGTTATCTGATTCGAAAATGTTTGGTATTGCTTCAACCTTGGAGTGTCAGTTCCCCGTGCTTAGGATACCTCACAGCTTTCACTTTCAACATGCTAGTTTTCATCTTTGAAGCTGGCGATCTTTTAACATCCTCTGCTTGTTGGTCTGACTGGACCTTTCTCCGACGCCAATTATGAGCAGCCAACCCATCCCTACAACTTCTTTTGGTACCATCAAACACTGAAATTTCATGAAACCTGCGTTTTGCAGTCTTAAAATCACCAAATTGCGCACAGAAACTGTACAGAAACCACAACAAAGATCGACGCTTTTGATCCTACAAGCTACTGCTCCATTCATTCGAATCCCCTCAGACAGCAACGGTCACAATTATATTTAGGCTAAATCTTCCAAGGCGACGCCTTACATTTGAAAGCCGCAATTGATCATTTATGATAATCTTTGTTCGCATTATAGACATCACCACATTTCAATATTCAAGACATTGGCATGAACAGACTTCAATAAAACTCTCAGTTTCGATGTTGAACAGTCCGATTATTTGATATAACAAAGTAATCACCTCAGCAGAAAAGACCCCACATTTTCTGTCATCCTCCTTACCAATAGCCGTAACTAAACCTGCACATTGCTACCCAAGCATCAGAGAGAGTATCTAACCAACAAAGCAGAATTATTAAAAGAACAGAAAGACCAAAGAGACCTCAAAGCCCAAAACAGAATATGACGAGAAGAAACAGATAAAACACTTAATTTGGGCATCGAGGTCTGAGAAAACTCCAAACGACAAAATGTGATGGATGATCAAGTATTAAAATGAGCAAATAGGAACCTGTTACACTGCTGGCAGAACCTCTGGGGAATGCCCTTAACCAAACAAAAGCAGCCTTAGGGTGTCGGTCGCAGACTTTGTGGCGCCGATAATATTGCTCTGCATCTTTCAAATTGGCATCACATTCATCAGCTTGACAACGCAATAAGTTAGCACCATCACCACTGCAGCTTGCAAAGTGTGAGTACTGTATCAAACTCCTCCTCTCAAATTTCTCCCGAGGCACCAACCTTATTATTACTATCCTCTCCTCTCTTTGCTCCTACTCATCTCCACTCTCCTTTTCTTCTTCCTCTAACCCTATTTCTTGCTCTATTTCCGACTCACCTTCTATCCCTTCTAGTGTTATAAACGATCTTTTTGCCATTTAAAAAAAAAAAAAAAAAAGAGAGAAAAGCACTTTGCTTTTGTATTCGGGCTTTTTGGGGGGTTTTAAATAGGGACTAGATTAGGAACAGATTTTGCTGAGCCTGAAACAGTGAGGGAATGTTTAGGGTTTGTAAATGTGAATGGTGGGAAAGAAAGAAACTAACAAAAGATCCAAAATAAGGTAAGAAAAGAGGACAAAAATGTTGGATTTGGCTCATAAGCTCACTGAGTTACTAATACAATTTAATTATAATTAAATTTGATCTATATGTGGGTAAGAGCTCAATCTCATTAAATCCAAAGTTATAGGTGTGTTGTTGCCCTTATAAGCTTTTTGATGCTATATATCAGGTTGGGATTAGATACCTGCATAATAAAAGGAGAGAGAATTGCTCTCTAACTCTAGAAATCGAAGTTATGAAATCTAATTGGTTGACCTCTCATATATACATATATATATATGAGAGCAAAGACCTCTTTTGACATGTTAGTTAAAATTGATTCATCTCGTTATAGGTTCAAATACAAAATTAAATCGGGATCACGCTTAATAATAATCATATTACTATTACTATTTGGGTATATTACAATATGGTAGTACAATCATTACTCATTAATTAACATTAATTAATATAATCTGGTATATAATGACTTTGTTAGTCCACGATAAATATAATAATCTCTTACTTAGACAACACAAGTAATTAAACTTGAAACTAGATGAATAGAATGACAATAAACGAAAATGTTAATATGAGTATCATACCCAAATCATCATACAAACAAAATGAGCATTTATAATCCCTACATTACATTACATTACATTGATAGGGTACGAAAATGTAGACTTACATGCTTTTTATAGCTTGAAAGTATTTATAAGTCTCAAAATGTACTATATCAATAGAATACAAGTATATAGATTTATGAATTATTCAAAAATAGTAATAGCAACATGCATTTATGAGCTTCCAAAATGCATTGTATCAATAAGATATGTACACACAAAATCCATAAACACTTTAGAAGAATAGTATGATAGTCGTGAAATGAAAATGGATATGAAAAAGAATCAATATTCATTTCCATTAGGTCCTTTCGCATCTAAACCAAATGATGTATTGCTTCGAAATAAGAACATGAAACTAACTTGAATGTCTCATCTAACAGCATACAAGTATATAGATTTATGAATTATTCAAAAATAGTAACAGCAACATGCATTTATGAGCTTCCAAAATGCATTGTATCAATAAGATATGTACACACAAAATCATAAACACTTTAGAAGTAGTAGTATGATAGTGTGAAATGAAATGATGTGAAAATAGAATCAATATTCATTTCCATTAAGTCTTTCGCATATAAACCAAATGATGCATTGCATCGAAATAAGAACATGAAACTAACCTGAATGTCTCATCTAACAGAATGCCATACTCAATAGAATGCACAAACGGAATATACATATGAAAAATAAAAATTCATTCATACAGTTGCAACTGATTTCTATTACAAAGAGCTCCCACTAACTTAGTACAGTAGAAGGCTTTACAAGTTTTGTATAAATGTCATGCTATCAAGACATTTTAGTAGTCAAATTTAGTTAGTGTTTATACCAAAATTAGCTTTGTACATTATGTTCTCTACAATTCATACCAACAAAGGATTTCATTACTTTCTCTCTAATAAAATTAATAATGATATCTATATATTTAGAATGTGAGGAGCTTTTAATATTTTAGAAAAAGTCACTACAGTAGATTTACCATAAAACATTCGTAATGACTTCGGAATGAAAAACCCAAAATCCATTCCTGAAATGAGATTCTACAGTTAATAATATGACATGTAGCTCCATACTATGCTATATATTTTGCCTCAAATATCAAGGATGTTGTAAGTGTTCATTTAACACTTTTTTAAAACAACTCTTTTAGCCAAACTACTAAAATTGGCTTCTAAAAGCATATAGAATTAGGATAAAATATTTGACTAAATTCAAAATGTCAAATCATTGATGTTTGAATATAGAATTATTCAAGTGTCTCTAAATACATTTATAGCATACACAACATTAGAATGTGTATAAACTTGAGCATAAATTAGATTACCTGCAGTTGAGGCGTGTTGAATGTTAGATATAAGATCTTTCATTTATTGATATGAAAACTTTGAGATTTAATAGTATGTCACATCTCACAACAAACACCTTATTAGGAAAACTATAGTGCATTACAAACCTACTTAACAAATATTAAATGTAAGTTTTAAGACCAACTAAATAGACCTCTATATATGTCACAAAGAATCTCAATCCCTAAAATAAAATAAAAACCTCAATTAGATTCTTTACATGCAGTGACATGATAACATGTAATGTCTCGAACAATAGGTCAGTGTTTATGACTGCTAATTTGATATTGTCAAAATGTAAAACACCTAAAATACATTGGTCCTACTAACCTTCCAACATTTTCATTGATAACTAATGTTTTTCTTGAAATGACAATCTTATCAAACTTTAGATATTACAGAAAGATGCCTTTTGAGTCCATAAATGGACTTCTCGAGTTTATAAATTGAATGTTCTAGCATAGAAAATCATGAAACCTTCATATTACTTCATTTAAACATCTTAATGTCTAATTGATGTGGCTCCTAACCGAATGAGCCACTAACGCGATGAAAATTCTAAAAGAATCAACGGTAGAAACGTAATAAAATGATTCTTTACAATCAATTCATTCTTTTCATTTATAGCCCTAAATTACAAAATTGGCTTTAAACATTTTTACCTAGCTTAAGGAGTATCTTTTCATCCTTATAAGCCGATCAACAATTGATTAGACTATAATGATATGTTCATTCATTTAGATCCCATGTACAATTATACAACACACATGTAATTTCATACTATTTGGTAAATATCTAACTCAAAAAGTTAGCATCACTAAAAGCCTCATGAAATGCAACAGCATTAGAAGACACATGAACACCATATTCATCTTCCTTTGTAGTTCAGGTGTAGTTCTAAAAATGAAATTGCTAAAATCAATTATTGGTTTAATTGCTTATGGCATTTTCTACCAATAGTCAATCACTTAAGGGACTAGCACAACAACAAGTTCATCCTTGAGAAAGACTTTGCAGAGTTCAAATCCTAATACTCCTATTATTTAAGTTATTCTTTAGATAGATTGCATAGTTAATCCTAATGATTTTAGTATTATAAAACAAGTGATAGGATCTAGAATTTCTAAGGTTAATGCAGTGGCCAATAAAATATCGCTAATAACTTTCTAATCAAGTTTCCATCATTGAAGGTTGTGGGCCCATAAATTCATATTACAACCTTAAGCTCGAAAAATGGCTTTTTGTCTGACCAAAATTTTCACGATCTTCGAGAACTAATTTGCTTTAAACTTTGCTTAGAAAGAATGTTGCAATCATAAAGGCTTTATTTCCCATGAAATCTAGAAATGTGGAAAA